ATTCTGGGAGTTGAAGTCCATTCATCTTAAAGTGGCCAAGTTTGGACAACACTGTGCTAAGGTCTACCATTCTCCATTTATTAATTGACAGGAAATTAGGAATGTTTTCAAAGAATGCACCATGAAACCATTCTGCTTTAAGCTGTGGAGGACCCTGACACGGGTGTCTCAAGAAGTTCTGAAGCCCTGCTGGGTTTCCTATCATCAGGGCAGCAGAGTGGGAGGCAAGGCAATGCTATTGTTTCCCCCCCTCCCCATCTGTGTAAGAATGAACTGCCCTGAAGTAGAAAAATACTATATGCAATCATCAAGATCCTTTTCTTTTTCTGTGTGGTGGTCAGACTGCCAGCTGCCCAGCTTAAGCAAGTAGGCACTTGCCGAACAAGGGGAAAAAAAGTTTAAAACACCTGCAAGCTTCCATGTAGGTTTCAAATGAAAGAAGTATAAAAGAATCCAAATCAGGTAGAAGCAGTTTGTACTCTAAGCCAAGTAGTAGAAAATTAAGCCATTTACTTAAGTTCTAAGCATTAAGTTAAGTAGGGATTAGAATACATATTTATGCTAGGTCGCTACAGATAGATACACGTATAGATGAAGACTTATACGCATAAAATCTTGTACATACACTTTGCACTATTCTTGTGTAGTGATAAGCAGCACTATCTTCACTAGCAGTGTATGTCTGGCCTCTTTCCTATCCATTCCCACCCTCCAACACCATCACTTTTAATGAAATTAATACAAGGGTATCTGCAGGGCATGGTAAAAAAATGTCAAGATGGCAGCTGTGATGGTATGATTGAAGCTCCACCCACTGCAGCCTCCATCTTGACTTTTTTGACCATTCCTTATGGGCAGCCCTGCATTCATATAATTGCTTTCATTGAAACGATGTTTCAATGCTCTGCTGGCCTATGACCGTAATAAAGAATTGATTTGGATGTTCAATGTACGTATGTGAGGTCCACATTAGGAAGCTGTACATCTGCTATAAATTAGCAGGCAGTTTGGAAATATTAAGATCCCTGATTCCTTAGCATACGTTGAACAATGGACATAATCCAGGAGTCTGCTACCAGATCCTTTGAACCCTTTCTCCATCTATCCTCAGAGGCTATGTCAGACATGCAAATTTCACCTACAGTCAAAACAGCTTCACTGCGAGACTTAAAGTGCTGGCTATTTCATGGCCAAAGAACTTGCAGATTGGGTGTGACTACACTACTATACTGTCAGTCTCAAATTTAGGAGATCAGTTGACTGTGAATCACTGCTGGAACAGCATTATTCTTCAAACTCTGCATCCCGCTCTTCAACTCTGCATTTCAGACTTCCTGAATCTGGACACTGCTCTGCCCACTCCTTGCATTACAGATCGTTTCTTAGCTTCTAACCCCTTGCAATGATTCCTGACTTCTCTTTGCATAATCCCGCAGCCATATGGGCCCATGATGTCCTCTGACATGCTCCTGATACATCTCCTTTCTGCTCTTCTGATTTTGGAAGGTCCACCTTAGAGAGGACAGGAGTAAGTAGGTTTCGGTGGGGCTCGGTAGGAGGTATCCAGGACTGGGTCTCATGAGAACACAAGACTGGATCAGGCCAATAGATCATCCAGTCCAGGATTCTGTGTCCTATGATGGCCAACCATGGCTGGCTGGGGAATTCTGGGAGTTGAAGTCCACTCATCTTAAAGTGGCCAAGTTTGGACAACACTGATCTAGATGGATGGTCTTCATGACGTCAGATCGCAGCAAATTCTTGATTGAACTAGGCATTGTAAAAAGCCTCCCATCGGACAATAGACTATCTGGTAGGAGGCTGCAAATGGTGATCACGTGGCCATGGGATGCTGCGACCAGGTGGGATTCGCTTAACGACGGCAACGGGGACTGCTGCAGCTGCCATTGGAAGTTGGCGTGGTCATGTGACATTGTGCTTCACGATCACATCGCTTAGCGATGGAGCTGCCAGTCCTAATTACTTTAGATAAGCAAGGGCGACCTGTACATATTGGCCCCGTAGGCCAATCACAATATGTTTCTTTCTTTTCTTTGTTTCCCCAGGAAAAATGTTACTGTACCTGACTTCTGGTACACCCTGTATATCTCCCAGAACTGACCTTTTATTGCCAATTGTGGAGCACAAACCTGAGAAGCCCTGGGGGCTATAAAACAGGACATGGGCTCTCCGAGCCCTCCCAGTAAAATAGACATTTCTCTTTCAAGGAATGCATTTTTGCATTTGATTGGGTTTAATAGACTCTGATTTATATGCCTTTTTATTTAACATATCTATATTTTTCTTAGCTTTTTTTTTTTTTTTTTTTAATGGA